CTAGCGTTTCACTCCATTTGTCCAAGAACAAGAATCTTTAAATATCTGCAAAAATATGCAGGGTCAGTTTATGAGTGCTGTCCAGAGCATCATCTGGGATAACGCACTTTTAGGAAGATCTTTGGAAGAAGACAGTCAAAGATTTACACAACAACTGCAGAGATCAATTGATGCATTCACATCCAGACAACGGCATAGGGGGGAAAAGAACACCATTCCTTGGATAACAACAAAAATCTTAAATCTAATGAAAAAACGGAATAGAGTAGTCAAAGAGATATGGATAGCCAAAGTAAACTTCTTTTTGACCATAATTGAAAAAGCAGGAGGTAATACTAAAACTAGTTGGAGCCAGTTAAGAAAACTAACTGGAAATAATGTTAACAATGCCAAATCAATTGAACTTGTTGTTGGTGGAAAATTAAGAGACAAGCCAACTAAAGTAGCTGATGCTCTCAATAATCATTTCATTGACTCAGTAGAAAATATCATCAAGTGTCTTTCCTCTGAATATAAGAACACTCCTCGGACAGACAGAGCCAGCTTTTAACATAGAATATATCACTGAGGCAGATGTTGTGAGGGATTCGATCTCTGAGGCCATCTCAAGCGAAAGATGTCATTGGTATGAACACTGTTATGCTGAAAGAGCTCTCTGAATCATTAGTATACCCAATTACGAAAATTGTCCGGCACTATTAAAGTAACACCATGTAGTTTTTCAACCTTCATAATATATTTCCAAGACCCTTGTGATGGTACATCGACTTACAATAGGTTAAATGACACGTCTGCCATAGCCTGACGTGGTCTGTATCACTTTTACTCGCACTATGTAACTTCGGGTTTCGGGTAGTAACCCGAGCACAAAAAGAACTACAAAATTCGACTGCTTTACGGCATACGTCACTTCCCCCACCACTTCCTCAAATTGTCTGTGGCCTGGGAGTCTCCCGCATATTGATAGCGTCTCCCTGATGCCCGCAAATTAGTTCAAATCTGCCGGAATCTAGAGCACGCATGTGAGACAGAACATACTGCGCGCATAACACACATAGCGCGAGCACGGGAGAGAGCGAGAGACCTTGCGAGTGTGCCTCACGAAAGCTAGTCAACCGTCAACAATCCAGTCACCAAGATATACCTCCCTGAAATGACTTCTTGCAGGTTGGGATGTCTGCCATTGTTGATTCCAAAGCCGGCGCTGGATAAACAGCGAGCGCGCGCGTGCGACAGTAGGCTGCGGTAGGTTAAATTATTTACGACAGCAGTAATGGACAATTCCGCTTCCAACCTGTAGGGCGACCGCAGAGGAAAAGTTCCTTGGTGTTGCTTTAAATGGGTAGAATCTTACTTAACACATCGGACTCAGTTTGTTAGGAATCATCAATCAGGTGTTATTTCCTTGTCTGCAGGTGTCCCACAGGGCTCTATTTTGGGTCCACTTTTATTTTCTTTATATGTAAATGACTTGTCAAATGTTTGTCCCAGTGCCAACACCTAATTGTATGCAGATTACAGTAATCTTTGTACATGCTAACAGTGCAGCTCAAGCTGCTGATCTGCTATCAAACTCGATGCAAAAGATTACAGCATGGTTAAATCACAATTGCTGTAAATGTCCAAAACTGTATGTATGTTTTTTAGTAAATCTAAAAGCCGCTGTGCAGAACCAGATGTAGTGGTAGCTGGGGAGAGACTACAAGTCGTCTCAGATTTTAAATACCTTAGAGTATACATTGATAACAATCTTACTTTTACATAAAAAAAAAACTGGCAAATTTTAGATATGTCCGTAGCTGCATGTCAAAATGGGCCGCTATGATGTTCATGCACTCAATGATTTGATCCTATATCACTTATTGTTTGACAACCTGGTCACAAGCTAGTAACACTTCTCTCAAACCCCTACTCTCCCTAAATATATATATAAAAAACTCTTAAAGTACTTGATAGGAAATCTATTTACTACCATCATTGTCATGTTTAAAAAAAATATAATCTTTCAAATTTCGAAAACTTGATTACATATACAGATCTCTGTCTTATATACAAAATTGTACATGGACTGGTTCCTCCTGTATTGCGCCAGTTTGTAAACACAGCACCAGATGCTTACAGATCTACAAGGAGTGCAGCAAGAGGTGACTGTATTGTCCCGTTGAGGAAGAGTGCACTTGGTGAAACAGCTTTTTCAGTCAGGGCTGCTCGTGAATGGAATTGTAAAACTTTAAAAAATTATATTTCACTGAATATTAAATTATTTAAATATTTACAATTATTCAAGTTTGAACTTCAGTTCCCACATTTCTCCCACAGAGCATGTGAACATGATCTTTTCAGACAGAGACATTTCACATCAGATTTACACCTTTGATGAAAAAATGTATTACAACTTAAAGTCAACTTCATAGTGCTTTATACAATACAGATTGTTCAAGGCAGCTTTACAATGATAACAGGAAAATGATGCATTCCGGCTGTTGAAGTCAGTTCAGTGTTGATTCAGTTTCATTATAAAGATTATCAATTATTAAATTAGTTCATTTCATCTATAAAGCAGTTCTGCAAATGATGGCCATTGTCCAACTCATTCAATCCTCATACAGCGTCAGTAAAGTCAGATCAATAATATTGCTGAATATTATGCATGCGTATAGTATGAATATTATCAAGCATGAATGTGTGTATGAATGCAGTTCTACATCCGCCAGCATGTTAGCATTGAGCTAATTCCCCTGCCATTCACGACTCCTCTACCATACTGTAGTAAAGAGTCCATTGGAATGTGAACTTCAGAATCACGGCTGCTTTTCACCTATGCACATTGTGTCTAAGACAAATTCTTGGCTCAGAGCAACAACAAAAAAAATTTCACAAAATCTTTGAGTTAATATATATATATATATATATATATATATATATATATATATATAAATATTGAAATGTATCCAAAAATACTGTTGAGTCAGAATTCCATAGGAAATGAATACGGGTCAATTTGACCCCCTTTATGCATTCTAGGGTTACACTAGATTATTTTTTACACTATACACAGTGACATACTTATTCAACAGTGGCTTGATTTATTAAACTTAAGAAGCTTTTGTGAAGTGAAGGTGGAGACTGATTACAGTATGAATCACATCATTGTGGTTATTCATAAACCGGACAGCCATGAACTTGAACAGACTTGATTGGCTAAACCGGATTAAAACACAAATCATTCAGTCTATGAGGCAACAACCTCTTTCAGTTCTCTGTAAATCAATCAACGAGGTGAAATGTGTTTCTTCTTCTGAACCAGTCTAAACTTCCTTTCTCAGATCCAAACCATCATCCCACTTATGTCCCAAAACCTTGATATGACTTCCCACAGATAATGAGGTCACTGCCTGGAATCAACACCCACCCACTGGAAACCATATTGGGTTCTAGAGGACAAAATGCCTTTCTTGGATATGAGGTTAGACAATGAACCAGAAAAAAAAAAAGCAGACGCTAGCCGCGGGTTTTCCTCTGATCTTGTTATAATGGATCACACTAGAATATATGGCTATGATCAGATCCGAAAGCGACCTATGGACAGAGCTGGAATGGGGTGTGTAAAATCCCAGAACTCCTTGTTAGGCAGGACTCCTCCCTCTGTTATCAGTGTGAGTCATCCGGCAGACATGCCCTCACTTTACTGCTCTCCTTGATGACTCTTCACACACACACACACACCCTGGCCGTTTCCATAAAACATCCCACTTGGAGTAAATGAAAGGAGAGGGTAAGATGTTTCATCAAAGCGCGTCTGATAGCACTGTCAGTCTGTTACTCCAGGTTGGATTTTGGAACTGCTGTTTTCTAAGACGAAATGTAGCGGAAATGACTTAATATCCATAAACACACTTCATCAAAATGAAGAGTCACACTTTATATCACTTCATTAATAAGTTACTCAACTCTGGTTTATTTGAGGAATAGTTGTAAAATGTCATATATGCATCACACCCATCCTTAATAAAACCCTTATTATACAAACTATGTTCATATTATCCATATTTATAACCATGCATGATATGCAATAAACAGAAGGCCTTCACCCATAAACAGCTAACATAATCTATCTATCTATCTATCTATCTATCTATCTATCTATCTATCTATCTATCTATCTATCTATCTATCTATCTATCTATCTATCTATCTATCTATCTATCTATCTATCTATCTATCTTCTCAACTCTGTTATCTGTAGTTATGATTATACTAAAAGACTCTACTATTTTATAAAACTGAAATAACAAAAAATGGAATTATGGGAATTATGTATAGTAAAATGATTTATTTTACATGTATTTGCCAGAAGTTTTTATTTTTTATAATAATTTTAGAGGTAATTTTCTCTTATTCTTAAAGCATATTTATATAGGCCTATATACACGGATGATCCAAAACATTATGACCAATCACAAGTGAAGCGAATAGTGGAATATAATATATAGGCCTACATATATTTTATTACAATATATATAAAATTTCTTATATTTGACTTCTTTGTTTAAATTCTATCTCTGCAGTCTGGACCAATTTCACGAGGTGCATCCTGGGATACTTTTTACAGTAATTAGGACTGCAGGAGTTCCTATAATGTATAGTAGCCTATGCTGGACACTTGTTGGCTTTACAAAAATAAAAAATAAAAATAAAATGATAAAATAAAGTAAAATAAAAAAATATATATTCATTATAATATTGTAAATAATTACCATATAAATTCATTATTCTTGATTCATTATTTATTCGAATATAATTGTTTATTATAATATTTAAAAAAAATATTGACGTTTTTGATTAACAGTTTGATTCCGCTTCTACAGATGTGGTTTTAATGGTCTCGTTGAGTTCTGACACGTCGAGTTCGCTGTCGCCCACGCGCTTTCATTGATACTCGAGCAACAGTTGACGTGACGTCATGTGGGCCGGGCTGCGGAGGCTTAAAAAAGGTCCCGTTCTCCTCCTCAAACCTACTCGAGTCTGTCTGGATCTTACGCACGCATGAAGAAGCACACAGTCGGCCGGAGACTTCAGCGGAGATTATACGAAGCTCTTGGACATTCGTATTCTTGTCTTTTCGTCCAAAACCCGAAGCTCACTCAAAACGCCACCGACATGACGGGCTCTGATATCTCCCACGTCCTGAAGGAAGGAGAGCTGGAAAAGAGGAGCGATAATCTCCTCCAGTTCTGGAAGAGGAAGACGTGCGTTCTCACCACGGACAGCCTGAACATCTACACCGATAACCAGAAGAAGAACAGGAGCAAAGAGCTCAAGCTGCAGTCCATTAAGAAGGTGGACTGTGTGGAGCGCACTGGGAAGTTCGTCTACTTCACGATCGTTACCACAGACAATAAGGAGATTGACTTTAGGTGCTCGGGCGAGGAGAACTGCTGGAATGCCGTGATCACAATGGCTCTGATTGACTTTCAGAACAGAAAAGCCATTCAGGACTTTAAAACACGACAGGAATCGGAGAACCCTTCTCTGGGACAGCAAGAGAGATGCGAGGCTAGAGCACCGTGAGATGCGACCAATCCAACACACACACGGTGAGAAAGAAATGATGTATTTGTCTTAAAAATAAAGGTTCCAAAATTGGTTTTTCGCAGCAATGAAACCTTCCAGAACCTTCCAGTCAACAGTTCTTAAAATAGCACTTTTGTTCGTATCTAAAGAACCTTATTCCATTCTACAGAACCTTTTCTGGAATGGAAAGATTCAATGGAGGTTAAAGTTGCTTCATAATGCCAATAAAGAACTTTTATTTTTCAATTGTTTGACATAATCAGTAGTCTATAGTTGAGTAGGCTTTCTAGTTCAGTAATGCTATACAGTATTTAGGAAAACTCATTCTCCCCTTTGTTTCGTTTAGAGATACAGCGAACTGAATCTTGAAGTTTGGACCAAAGCATGTCTGAAAGGAGCCCATGTGCTCAGAATAAGGACTGTGGTTGAGCTGGTCTGTGAAGGTCTTCGGAAGAATAAACCTGCAATGATTTCAACAAGCAAAACCCTCAAAAAACACTCAAGACTGAATCCTTGGACTTTCTTAACCGCCTCGATAAGGCTCTGGATATGTAGCCTACGTGTAAATGCATCTTATTTATTTTTCCAAAGGAACGCTGCGAATACCAATGTTGTATTAAGTTATTTCATGATGTATTTATTTAAATAAATTTGCATAAAACTGAGTTTGTATTTGGACTTCATTATTTATATTAAAATAGTTCCGTAAAAAAAAAGGGTAACACTTTACAATAAGGTTCTTTGGTATTAGTTATACAGTAAAGAATTATGGTCACAATTTAAATTCTGTGTTTTTATTATACTTCAAAAAATAAGTACAATGTAAAAACATGCATGTACATAATAAGCACTGTATATATTGATTAATGTAAATGTTAGAACTATGTGTACTGTGTACTAACATTTAAATTAATCATTTGATACACATCTAGTTGAATGTACTTACTTGTATTTAGTACCTCAGCTCGATTAAATTGAGTTGATTTGAGTATAATAAATTTAGTAATTCCACCCTTGTTTAATGTTACTTCTAGTTAAAGATTCTTAATATAAAGTGGGACTCCATTTAGTAATCTGAGTTAATATCCCAGACAACCCAGATCCGGCCCACATCTGGTACGCGTTGAATCCACATGTACCGGATCTGGGCCGACACTGTGTTGCTGTCTCAATTTCAAGATTTACTACATTGCTAAAATCAAAAGTTATATCAGTTAATATTATTCAATGGACCTAAACTAGTAGTATTTGTATTAACTAACAAATTGACCTTATTGTAAAGTTTTATCAAAACTCATAACTTTTCATATCATAATCTGGTTGTGCACTAGTACAGCACCATCATTTTAAAAGGAATATCGTTTACATATTTGCCGAAGTTATTTAGTGTCTTTTGTCATAAGCAGGCGTTTCTTGAGGGAGGGGAAAGTCCCCGTCGTGGAAGTGACTTGTTCATTCAGAAATGTGATCATGCGATCATGCGTCAGATAGATAGCTCAATAGACCTGTTGTATAGCATAGCAACACGCTTATGTTGTGCGCCGCACCCACTGAGAACACAAAAAATTGTAGAATATTTGACTTCAAAAATGTGTATAAAAAAAAAAAAAGACACAAGCCAATCCCTATAATGCTTTATTGAGGCTATAACCTTCACACTTGCCCTTCTGAACAGGTGTAGGCGTATAGATCCGATGATAAAACGAGTGATCCACCCAAAGTACAATAAACTCTGCCGCCTTATCAAGCTAAGAGCCAATAAGTCACGTGATGACAGGAAACCGCTCATCATTTCGGGATGTAAATGTGTGTCATTTCTTAAGTCAGCATTACAACTCCTATACATCTTTGTATAGGAGTTGTAATGCTGACTTAAAGGGATAGTTCACTTTGAAATTAATTTTTGGTATTTTTTAGCTTACCTCAAGGGCATCCAAGATGTAGGTGTCTTTGTTTCCGCAGTAGTTTCAATTTTGATATTTTTAGGTCAAACCGTTCTTGTCTGTCAGTCATATAATGCAGGTCTATGGTCACCACCTCAAAGAGCATGCACAGAGAAGTCCAGATTAAACATGATTTAATGACTCGTAAATGTAAGTGCACATTGATGGCCTAAGACATGAAACAAGCGGTTTGTGTGAGAAAACGAACAGTATTTATATCGTTTTTACCTCTTGTAACGCACAGACCGAAGCGCCCGCGCCCTCAGATCACTTGGACGTGGCTGTGGTTACAAGAGGTAAAAACGATATAAATACTGTTCGTTTTCTCACACAAACCACTCGTTTCGTGTCTTAGGCCATCAATGTGTACTTACATTTACGAGTCATTAAATCATGTTTAATTTGGACTTCTCTGTGTATGCTCTTTGAGGTGGTGACCATAGACCTGCATTATATGACTGACAGACAAGAACGGTTTGACCTAAAAATATCAAAATTGAAACTTCTGCGGAAACAAAGACACCTACATCTTAGATGCCCTTGAGGTAAGCTAAAACATACCAAAAATTAATTTCAAAGTGAACTATCCCTTTAAGAAATAATGGGCAATGGGCAAAATGCTATTTTCATAGTTTTTTGTTGGATATAATGCATTGAGGTTAAACAGACTCAGCAGTATCTGGCCCTTTGTTGCAGTTGAAGTGCATGTGTCAGTGTAGAGTGAGAGAGCACAAGCTCTCGCTGGTATTACGCAGCTTTACAGATTATTGAGCGCTCGGCTTTGAAGTTGTTTATGGATCAAAGGGACACACTGATCTAAGGAGAAGCATCCAGTCAAGAAGTATGTCTCGCTCATTTGGCCCCTTGTGGGCTCCTGACGGCCCCTGAAGGCTCAGTTTCACTGTATTCTCTTCTGAGGGCCTGGAGGTCTGGATGTGTCCCGGATAGACACTTATAACTCACCATTAACACAGCATATGACATAACTATTTAAAGTTTTGTATCATCTTATTGAGTTTTATTGTTTATGAGTCATTAAAAAAAAAAGAGAAAAGACAAGAGATGTGTTGATTAACAAAATATTTGTACTTGGATTTCTTTCTCACTCTTTTTGTTTCAAACACATTTGTTGGCATTGATATCCCAATTTTTTTTGTTACTATCAGCTATGACTTGGGATTACTTAAAGGGCTTGTTTTTATTATGAAATGTGTTATGCTACTTTTTTATGAAATATAAATTCACTGATTTCAGATAAGGGTACATTACTCATAAGCCACAGTTACATTCACAATAGAGCTTGGCCTCCTGTCCATTATTGCTTTTATATAATTTAGGGCACACATTAAATTTCAATGTTTTTTATGCATTTCATTAAGTAAATGTTTCATAAAACAGAACTGGAGACATTTTGGGGTTATTTTTATTATTATAAGCATTTCATTTATCATAGGATCCGTGTGTAGCATAGGAAGTGTATTTACAAAAAAAAAATTAGGACACAATTTTAATTTTTTATTATTTATTTATTTATTAATTTAGTTTAATAAAATAAAAATTGACACATTTTTCAGTTAAATGGTTTTTATCAAGCATTTAATTTAGCATATTTTAGTAAAATTATGAGTTTTATGAAGCATTTTATTATGTGTATTTAATAAAAGATATTTAGGACACAAATTTTCCTTTAAATGTTTTTATTAGTTTTATTTATTAGGTTTTTTTATGTTTGTATTTATCACAAAAATATATAAATTATAATTAAGATAGTATAATTAAGATAGATATTATAATTAATATATAAAAATAAAGATATTATAATTAATTATATATCTTATAATTAAGATATTATAATAATACACATATATAATATATAAATACATATATATATAATTAAGATTTTTTAATAAAAAAAATATTCAGTACACAATTGTTTTTATTTACACATTTATTTAAATACATTTATTAAGCATTTAGATTAATTAAAAAATTATTTTTAATGAAATATTTAATTATGTGTTTATTTAATGAAACCTATTTAGGACACAAATTTTCATTTCAATGTTTTTATTATTAAGAATTTTAGTCTATTCAATAAATAAAACACCCATTTTTGGACATTTTTCATATTATTGTTTTCATAATTGTTTTATTATTCTATTACGATTGTTTGAATTATTAATTTTCATTGATATGTGTTTTTTTTTACTAATTTATTAAGCATTTAGTTTAATAAAGAAAAATTGGACAATTTCTTCTGTTAAATATTTTTCTATTAAGCATTACATTTAGCATATTTTAGAAAAATTAGGATACAATTTTTTATAAAGTATTTAATTATGTGTATTTATTAAAACATATCAATGACACACATTTTCAATTCAATCTATTTTTAAGCATTTTATTGAGTGTATTTAATTTAAAAAAAATATATATAATTTTTTTTTTTATTACGATTATTTAAATAAAAAAAAGGACACAATTCCTTTAAATATTTATATATAAGTGTAATCCTTCCTGTAAGACCTCATGGTTGTTATGGTTTACACAGAGACACAATGCAATCAACAGTATTTACTTTCGGTGTCTCAAACAAACACTAGAAATTTGTGCGAGCCCATCAAACTCCACAGTCCCGCAGGAGGAACCGGAGAGTGTTGTATACTCAGGGCTGGGTTTACAACGGAAACGTCTTTCGCACCATATCTAAAAGATAAGCTGCACCCACAAAGTCACTTGTTTGATCTTAAAATTGACATACCTTTATGAATCATTACTGCCTTAATGATTCATAAAGTCATATTCATAAATATGACTGTGCATTTAAAGTTCCACAGTCATATAGTGCTCAATCATATGACTGATTCTTGAGACAACTTTACCTGCCATTACTTTTGATACCACCTTTTTCCTTTCATTTGAACTTCCATTTATTTTTTACAAAATCATGCCAGTATTATTCATTATCTTTATTCTATAGTTTAGACTTATACTCACTATTAAATTACAAAAAATAAAATAACAAAATAAAGTCCCAGAATGTTCTGAGAACATCAATAAATTGAGCACAAACACCTGTAGGGTAAAAAAAGAAAAATAATTAGTACTTTTTTCCATTGACGAGCCCGCTTGTATGACATCGTAATATGCTTGTGTCAATATCATATTTGATCTTTTTTTGGAATTTGCCCTCACAGTCAGGTAAGCCCTCACCTGAGTCATACCTCACATTTTTCACCCGTGACCGCGCAACGTAACAAAAAGAGCCAGTCATAGACCCCGTGAAAGAACAGACTCCTAAAATGGCATTCAAATGTGCTGACAAATGGAGTCATTCATCTATTGTAGTTGTGACATGTGTGTGTGTGTGTGGTATTCAGTTATAATGCACCATATCCGTTTTTTTAAGCAGCGCCTCAATGGGCATATAACCTGAATGTTTGGCTTCAGGCATTCTAAACATTTAAAGACACACTTAGATGCCGTCTGGTAATTAAACTTGGTTTGACAAAGACTTTGACAAGTTCCTTCCTGTGAGATCAAATTTCAAAATCAGGTTTTAAAAAAAGCACAAAGTAAAATCAGTTGAAATGAAAGAATGGGCTTCCCTGGTGCCATAGATATCTTACAGAATATATATATATTAAAGAAATATCTATATAAAAAGATAGTTACATATGACATTACATATATATCACACCCTGAATGACAAAATAAAACAC